TTCCAGTAAGTTGTTTCTTGGATTTATTTCCTTGAAATGTAGATACTTCTAGAAAGCCTTCACCTTGTTTTGTTAAATTTAATTTCTTAACTAATTCGTCAGTAATATAATTAACTTCACTTCCAGTATCCAAAAATACTGAAACATCAATTTTCATGTTTTCATTCACTGGCGAAAATACTTTAGTTTTCAAAATCATTAAATTTGGTGACGAATTATTTAATAACGAAGTACATGTATTTACTGATAAATTCTGAGTTTCCAAAACTTTATTTTCAATTTTGGGTTCTCCAATCTTTTTGCTTACAATTTTACAATTTAAGCTTTTTCTTTTCCAACTTTGGGATTTTCGGTTTTTATAATTTATTTTAAAATTTTGAGGTCCACATGTTAAAAAACACTTTGTCTTTTTATGACATATTGCAGTATTATGAGGTCCTTTACAGAAGAAACAATATTTTTTACTAAAACACATTCTCGAGATATGACCTCTTGCACAACAACGGAAACATCTTCTTTGTTCAAATAAACGCTTCTTGCGTTCCTCCAAACCTGCAACATTTTTACAAGTATTGGACCAATGATTTCCATTACAAAAATAACAAATAATATTTCTCCTATTTATAGTCACGGGAAAAGATCTAGTCTGATTAACTACATTAATTTCGTTATTATTCTCAGATTTTTTATCTTCATCATTATTAAATTCTTCATATTTTCGACTCTTTTCCCCTTGTAGACTTGACTGACTATTTTTCTGTGAAACATTAAAATGTTTAACCGATTGGTAAACTGATTCTCTTATATTAGCTATTCCAACTAGAGCTTTTCTTAATTCAATAGTATTGCATTTTTTACTTGAAGATTTTTTTTCTTTAGCAATTTCCATTAAAACATTACTATTAAGTTTTGACTTTATTAACGAAGTCATAATCGAATTATTTGTATTTTCTCCTAAACTTTCTAATTGTCGAAATATTTTTTCAATTTTATCGACTGTATTTTTCAACGAAATTGCTTTTTCTGTACAAACGGGCAATTGAAATAATTCAGACTCTAAAGCTTCAATAGAATATTTTTATCGCCAAATCTTTCCTTTAATATTTTAACTGCAATTTCATAATTTTCGTTCGTTAACATTAAATCTGAAATAACATCCTTTGCTTCTCCTTTCAAACAATTAAGCAAAAATTTCATTTTATCAACTTTACTAAAATTCTGTTTATCAATTGAACTTTCAAAACTTTGCCAAAATGAAATCCAATGATGTGGATCTCCATGAAATTCGGGTAACTGAAGTCTGGGTAATTGTACAGTTAATTCTCTTGTCTCTACATTGTTAATCTGTGTTACAACAGAATTATTTTTAGAGGTATCTGGACTTTTCTGAAGAACTAATTCATCAATTGAATCAACAATTTCTCTTCCTTTTTCAATCCATTCATAGAAATGTTTATTTTCAACTGTATAATTTTCATAAGATTGAGTTTCTTTTATTCTATCATCTAGATCTAAAACTTTTAGGAAATCTAACCAAAGTTGGTTTTTTTCATCTAAAGTTTTTAAAATTTTTCGAATACTTTTTCCGTCATTCAAAAGTGATTCTTTTTCTTCATCATCAATTTCATCTTTTACTATAATACTTTCTGCATTTTCAATTCTAACTCTCAAACGTTGTAAAACAGTTCCGATCATTCTTTTGTATGGACCGGACATTTTCAATTTTTAATTTAAACTTTTCAACTTTAATTTCAATTAGATTTTTAACTTTAAACTTCAAACTTTAAATAGCTTTTTAACTTTAAACTTCTAACTTCAAACTTTTAAATATAACTAAATCTTTAAAACAATTTCTCTTTAACTTTTTCAAGAACAAATTAATTCTTTTCACAATCAATTTTAACTTTATCACAGGTTCGTTCAAATGTAGCGGCACCACTTGTTGAGAAATACTTTCCCAACAATAAAATTAATTTTAAACAAGAAAAACTTTTATTTAAAATTAAAATTTTAAACTTTAAATTTATAAAATAAAGGAAGAACTTTTACAATTTAACTATACAATTGACTTTACAATTTCTTTATTTAAAGAACAATTAAAACTAAAAGAAACTCTAAAAGTTTACAATTTTATTCAAACAATTACAATTACAAAAAGCTTTGCAAAAAACTCTTACACAAAAACTGAGAGAATCTTAAAACTCTTATCTGAGAATTTACAAATTAAACTCTTTAAAAATATTAAACTTTATTCAAATAAATATCTTTACAATTTAAAGTTACAAACAAAAACTCAAATTACACAAGAACTTTTGCGAGAATCTTAGAAAACTCTTATACAATTAACATTTTCTAAACGAGAGAATTACACAAAACTCTGATTATTCCCTAAAATCCTAACGCTTAAATAGAGGAAAAATGGGAGGGATTTTACTTAAAAATAACAAAAAAGTTTACAAAGTGCAATGAATAATGGGAAAGAATTTGGAAGAAGTAGGCGTATTCGATTACGAATGATTAAAAATAGAAATAAAAAATATAAAAATATTTTTAACAAAAGGGACAAGGGACAAAAGGGTAAAAAATAAGTCGCCTTTCGCGACAAGAGATAAACTAGCCACGAGAAGGCATAGACTTGCGATTCTTGGACAGTTATTCCTAGAAGTTTTCACTCACCATTCATAGGTCCAGTACCAACAGAGAATTTTCTCATTTAATACATCTTAAACCCCCACCTAGAAAGTTTTTTAAATATCTTCTAATATTTGTATTGCAGTTCGACACATGGCTGAGTATTTTCCTACATGAGGATAAGCCTATGGCTGAGTATTTTCCTACAATAGGATAAGCCTTAAAACTAAGTTAAAAATCAAAAATTAATCACCTTCATTAACATCTTCCCTTTCTTTTTGTTCTGAAGGGAATGAATTCGAATGTTCTTGTAAATTTATTTTAAAATTAAATTTTTTAAATAAATTAGAAAATTTTTACCATTAACTTCCTCTCTATAATTCGGCTTCAACAATATTTCTTTATCTTCATCTATTATTTGTTTTCCTTTAGAGGAAGAAGAGCTTCCATACAAGATCTTATTTTTATTTGTATTATTTTCATCCTTTGTATTATTTAATTTATTAGTTCCGTATATTAAATTAATAAAATTTAAATAAGTTAATAAAATAATTATTTTCATTAAGATTAGAATTTAATCTAGATTTGTAATTTAATGAAAATTATTTGTTACTTATTTTAATGTATAACAATTTATGTTTGATCAAAATAAAATTACTAAACTAAAAGTTAATTCAAAAATTTTTAATGATAAATAATAACAAGAAAAATATTAATTTTCTGTAAGTTTTTAGGACTGCTAGCTATAAAGATAGACATATGTAATCTCATTAACTGCATTACATAATGTGATTGAGTTTCAAAGGATCAAAAGGTAAATTAGTGGATTTAACAGAAAATTAGCGGATTTATTAAATTATAAATTGAATTCAAAAATATTATTTTCATTTTTTAATTTTTAAAAATTTAGCTATTAAATAACAAGCCTCTAATAATAATTATTATTTTAACATATTTTAAGGTCGATTAAATAAAATTAATGTAATTTAATTATTATATACAAGTCTGGTCAAAATATAAATTTCACAATTTTTTTCTATTTTCAACGAAAAATAAAGAAAAATATTGTCTGGAAAAATATTTGTTATTGTTTACATAAATATAGGACAGATTTTTAAAAATTTTATATGAAATTGTCTAGTCGATTTTATTTTTTAATAAAGGAAGGGAGATTTAAAATTTTAAATAAAAATTAAAATTTGTGGAAATTCATGAATTATAGAGAAATCCAAGACTTTTTTCGTGAGTTTTTCAAGATTTTTCTTGCGTCTTTTCTGTTTTGTTACTACTGCTACTTGCAATACATATGTACGTTAACTTATTCCTAGAAAATGTTTCGGAAATAAAATTTTTTGGACATGTAGCAAGAATTAAAAAAGTATAATAATCAGTCTAACAGTCAAAAGGCTGAAATAAATAAAAAGAATAATGTTGACCCAAATATTATTTTTTAAGAAAAGGAGGTCAGAATAAATAGGGAACAGGGCTTATGGTGTGTAAACTACACAACTAACAGGTCCTAAAATCCAGAAAGGTCCTAAAATGTCCTAAATCCTAAAATGCCAGAGGTCCTAAAATGCCAGAAAACATGCCATAGAAACGTCGCAAGCGTCGATCCTACTCAAAACCGCAATCCCGTTACAAGGAAAGTTATTTTTATTACATAATTATTATTTTTGTCTTTGCACTTTCTTTACTCTTTTCACTACTTATTATTCGGCATTTATAAAAAGATAAAAATATTTATTTGCACTTTGTCATGACATTTAAATAGCAAGTGATTTTGAGAGTCTTGCCTCCACTCATTTATTATTAAAACACAAAAAATGTATTTTAATGTCAATTCATCTCTTTAATTTTTAATTAAATAAATATGTAGCTATCATTGCGCAATAAATTTCTTTATTAATCAAAGTGCCTGGGGATTTTTTATTTATGGGCAAAATATTTTATGAAATTATTTAAATATTCAAATAATAATTGTCAATTATTCTATGTTTTTTCAAATTTTTATTTTATTTTTTAATTTGTTCCCGCATGTTATTTTCTTTTCCTCTATTCCAGTTTTATCCGATCAGAATGAATTTTATATCATCGAAATCTCTATAAGTTTTACGTTCTTTCCAACTAAATGAATCAAGTCTGATCTCCTTTAAAAAGTTACAAGTCGATAAGTCTGTAAAACATTTTTTTGCATCTATCGAGTTGTAGCTTTCAAATTTGAGATTAGAAGTTGCTATGTTAAAGTTACTATGTTAAATTTGATCCATCCAGTTGGAAAAAAGATTGTTCTGGTAATTTCAAAGAAATTTATAAATATTATCATTTAATTATTTCAAAGTATTTTTAAGAATTTATCGTTCAACTAAATGCACCTATACTATTTCCCACTTTTATTTTTTATTTTCTTTATTATTTTAAATAGTATTGAGGCTCCGAACACAAAATCAAAAAAAGCAAAAACTTCTCAAGATGGAAATTCTAATGTTCAGGGTAAAATTTAAATCAACAACTCTAACTAAAATAAATATTGGCTGTATTACCTCTAATAGAATACCGTGGCATTTTATTTCTCAAGGCGTTTATCGTTCTATTAGAGGGTACATTCAATTGGAATAAGGGCATTTAAGTTTTCAATAACCTTCTAGGGGGTCAGGTTTATTTTGAACAGGGCATTTTCTCTATCATCCTACAAAAGGCATTCTAATGAGGGGTTAAAGTTGACAGGTATTTTAAGTTAAGCCGGATCAGAGTTAATCTCTATTTTATAGGCGAAAAATACGACTTTAATCAACTCAATTGGTTTATTGAGAAAAGCTATAGACTTATTTCTTTTGTATTAAACAACAAAATAGATAAAGAAATTGAATACTCAATCAGATTTTCTATTTTCCAATTTCAAGAAAAATTTGATTATTTTATGAAAATTATTGCAAAAAAAGGAAAGATTTTACCAATATATTTGGATCGAATTATTTATACTCCAGAATATTTAAAAAATATTGCAAAAATTATGGCGACATTTGAAACAAATAAACCATTTAATTTAGAAAATTTTATTAAAACAATAAATTTTCACAAGGAGGGAATAAAGGAAAATGGAGTTATTTCAATGAAAAAATTACCACCGTTTATGGTACTGGATAAAGTAAGCATTTGTTTAGTAATTTACTTATAATTTGTTGATACATACTGCGGACATTAGAAATTCTCTATCTTTTTGAACCGGGTCTGCCAATACCCTAAAATAGGGATTTGATAAAATTCCTGTAAGTCACTGGGTATCCCTAAACGGAAATTATATCCAAGCCGAAGTTTTGATACCTGGCCTTCTATACGAAAACTCCACCCCTTCCTCAGAGTATATGAAACGTTTTTTCTCCATATAAAGAAGTGAATTTCATCATGTTTTGGAAGCCTTCTTATCCCTAGATGCATATGTATAACTTAATTAATAAATTAAATTAATTTTCAGAAAATGCAACATCTTACCCAAGCATTAAGAAACGCAATTTCCAACACATGTGAAATTTACATAAATAACCAAATTAAATATACTTTATGTGTATTCTCTCATCTTTACATTTTTACCTCAATGATTCAAAAATATTTATTTGATTTTAAACCTTATAAGATTCATATTAATGAAGAATTGATAAATGATACCACTCTTAAAGAGTGGTTTGATATGGGACTAGGTATGTTTCAAGTAAAAGTTTTCTAGTAATTATGGTAATATTCATTTCTTCCTGAATCCCCTCCTTGTGTCCTTGACATCTAGCGAATTAATAAGTTTAGTTCCAGGGAGACTGTGAAATATGCACGCAATTGAAAAAAAATTCCGCAACTCGCAATTTCTTTTTATAAATCCGCAAAACAATCCCAGTGTCAAACACTCAAACGCATCCTTCATATTTGGAAACAGTAGAATCTGGGCTTTCGTACCAATTGAGAATCCTAATTCCCAAAATATAAAATCCTCAATTAATTAAAAAACTTACAATTACCTATTTTCTCCAAATTTTAGGTGCACCAATATCAAATAATTTACATTTATCTGCTATTCGGCACCAATTTTATACTGAATGGATGTGTGATGCAGGGAGTAAAATGCTTGATTATTTAAAAGTTGAAACAAATAAGAAAGAATGCACAGATAGAATTGAATCTGGCTATAAAGATTTAGCCAAAATCTTTGTGAAATCAGTTAGTATAGACTATTCTGAAAATAATATTGTTAAAGAATTATCAAAAGTTTATTTTTCTAAAATAAGTAAAGAGACAAATAAGGCTACTGAATTAAAAAAGGATAATACTGAATATAGGTATAAAATTTTAAAATAAGAGAGTTTCTAAATACGTATTTGATTATATAATTATCATGGGTATATATTTCTTTTTGATAGTTAATAAAAGAGAAATTATTTGAGGGGATAATACTTAGAACATGTACGGTATGTTTATAATAGATATTTTTAAATAGCCTACAAAAAATATTTTCCCGCGAAAATGGCCGCTAAAATTCTCAAAATTTTCGCCTGCGACGCTGAAAATTAAAACAAATTTGACTGACTTTCCTAAAATCTAGGAAGTTTTAACTTTTTTTTTAAATTTAAAATTTAAAAGCTTCAAAATTTACCCGTCCTAAAAAAGCTTTTTGATAACCCCGACTTCAACCCCAAAAGCTTAACTCCGAAAACTCATCATAGGTGATTAGAAGGATGTAGCAGATAGTAAGAGATATTGTTGTTATAAATGAATTTGAAAAAATATGAAAAATTGAAAGGATATCAGGAGCAAGAGCTTATTTATCTTCCGTTTCTGCCTTCCGTTCAATTCCGCCTTTTTAGGCCTTACGCTTTTTAAAATTCAAAATTGTGCAGTTTTAATTCTTAATTTTTTTAATAAATTAAAAAAATTATAAATAAAAATTATAAAATTATGCATCTCTTTGTATTATTATTTTTTACATCCCTTTGTATTTTTCCCATACCTTAATATCCGCTACATCCTTCAAATAGGTATTTTGCTTGTCTTGTTGGGAGATTGAGATTCGAAAAATTAAAAGACAGAAATTTTTAAAACTTATTTAGCTATGCAATGGAAGAGTTTGATAAATTGAAGTTTCGAAGGAATGTCAAGAATTTGAATTTATTCGGGTCAGTAAATAGTATGTATATTATTAGGTTGAGTCCTAATAATCTTTCGGCATTTCCATTTAACATCATCCTAACCCAAGATTGAATTTTTAGAAAAACGGGCATTTTTTATCTTTTTAAAAAATTATTTGGTCTTTCAGGAAAATTTTTCTCTTTTTTCACATTTTTGACGAAAATTTTCAAATATATGTTTTCTAAGAATCATATCTCTACTCATTCACAAAATTTTCAAATTTCCTTTTTTTTAAAAAAAGAAAACGCTGAATAATAATTATAATAATTGACTAATCTTTTAGTAGAAACATAGTGGAAGATTTTGATAAATGGTATGATGCTGAGAATATAAAGAAAACGAATTTAAATTTAACAGAAAAAAATATTATGGCAATTCAACATGATAAAGGTATAATGAGTTTTTTGAGTGATTGAAAAAGTGAAAGGAAATTTATAACAGCTTTTTGCTTTTAGTAGAAAAGCAGTAGTAGATTCATAACGTTGTTCGTAGTTAAGTAATTTCTGGATTTACTATCTCCTAAAATACCAAAATAGGAAAAAAAGTTTCATTAAAATAAGGCTGCCTTTTTTGTTTACTGAAGCGCTAGCCATACTTTGGAGTAGGGTTCGATCAGAATTCCGATTTCCGGCACCTTCGACATTTCTGATGGACTTTTGCTTCGGAGCAAACTTACTTTGAAATTGTGAATTTAACAAAAATATACTTATAATTACAACTTACAAGAGTTTTAAAAATAGAATCACATCTGTTCCCATTAAAGGATTTAATTTATATGAACTTTTACAGAAATTAGTAAATTTATAAACTATTTAAAAATAAATCGAAAATTTTAAGAGAAAAAATTTGAACAAAACCATTGTGAAAGTTCATCAAAAAATGAGCAAAAAACTGATAAAATGTTGGAAATAAATGAACATAAATATAATGAAAACAATGAAATAAATAATGAACAAATAAACAATGAAAATTTAAAAATAAATGAGGAGGAAGAAACAGACTGGCTGAAATATTTCGATTTTTGCTAGAAATAACAAGAAATTTTTTTATTCTTACATTATGTACATAGATATGTAAATAAGTAGGAAGACGGGACTGGAAGTGTTGCGTAGATTTTTGTTCAAGATTCAGTCTCGATCCGGGCTATACCAGAGAGAGTATTCTTTAATGAAGTAATCGACCCTATCTGAAAGTAAGGGCGGCATCCAATTTTTTCCATATTTCTAAAAATATTTATTTTTCTTATATTTTTCTCTCTATTTTTGATTTGTGCCTTAAGGTTATAAACGCAAAAGGATTATTTTTCCGTTTTGTCCGGGAACGATAAGTGTCCGTGTGTGTCAGTGTTGTCCGTGACCGATGTGTGTCCGTGTGTGTATGAACGATGTGACCGTTTGTGTCCGTGTTGCCGGAACGGTCACGGACACACATCGGTCACGGACAACACGAACACACACGGTCACGGACAACACGGACACACACGGTCACGGACAACACGGACACACACGGTCACGGACAACACGGACACACACTGTTGTGTCCGCACTTGCAGAAAGAACATAAATGAAAATAAATAACCCAGCATCGGGTTGGATGGTGGCACAGTCGGTTGTGCTTCGGTCTGGGCTCATTCCATGATGGTTCAATTCCATCTCCCATCCACAATTTTTCCACAGTACGAACACTCGGACATGACAAATGGCGCAGTCGGACAGGCCAGGCTTAGCCTGAGGAAATTTCAGCGAACCTTCAAATGTTGTGATGATCTGACATTCTGTCACTGTGGAGAGTAAAAGGAGAAGACCCTGTGAGAAATTAAAAATGCCTGAGTTGTGATAGGCTAGCCGGTGTTGTGAGGCTATATAAATAAAAATGCGTAAGACGCCGATGATGCGCAGCGAGTAAGAAAAATAAAATGCCACAAATGGGTTTCTGTGTGTGCTCTCCAAAATCAAAACAGATGATAGTTATAGAAGACAAGCAACAAGCGAGGACGCTTGGTTTCGCAAGGCGGAAGGAGTGTTGTGTCCGCACTTGCAGAAAGAACATAAATGAAAATAAATAACCCAGCATCGGGTTGGATGGTGGCACAGTCGGTTGTGCTTCGGTCTGGGCTCATTCCATGATTCCACAGTACGAACACTCGGACATGACACACACGGTCACGGACAACACGTACACACACGGTCACGGACAACACGGACACACACGGTCACGGACAACACGGACACACACGGTCACGGACAACACGTACACACACGGTCACGGACAACACGGACACACACGGTCACGGACAACACGGACACATCGGTCGACAACACGGACACACATCGGTCCCGGACACACACACAAGTTATAAGAAAAATAATCATTTTGCGTTTATAGCCTTACGGCACAAATCAAAAATAGAGAGAAAAATGTAAGAAAAATAAATATTTTTAGAAATATGGAAAAAATTGGATGCCGCCTTTACTTTCATATACTGCCAAGTAATCTCTCTAAAATTTTTATTTTTTTTAAATTTAGACAACAGATTATTAACCGGCAAATATTTTTTCAGTTCATGGCACAACCTTCTCTTAATTCCAACTTTATTCCCTTTAATCTGTCCAGACCCCCCCCCCCCCCCGATTAATCTTGTAAAGAAATCGAAAGAAAAAGGGTTTTGATAAAACTGGTGAAGTTTTTCAGGGTAATAGGCATTTAGGGTATAAGTTTTAAAATTCCCTAAAAAATGATAAATGTAAATTAAATAAAGTTAATTTATCAAACTATAAATTTTAGTAAAATAAAGCCTCAAACATTAAAACCAAAAATATAAAAATGTACCGTAAATAATCATCCGAATATTGAATTTTTTATTTTTTTTTGAAAATTTCACAATGTATTCTAATTTATAAAATTTGAAAAAAAATTTTTTTTATTTTGAAATAAATTTTGTTTTGGCAATATTTACTCAAAATAAAAAAAAATATTTTGAGATTTTAGTTTCTAGTAAATTAATGG